AAGATCTATCCCTTTAGCAAATTTTTAAGTATACAGCACATTCTTGTTAATTATAGGTATTATTCTGCACAGTAGATCTCTAGGACTTATGCATCTTTCAAAATTGGAACTTTGTACAATTTGACCAACACTGTCCTGTTTCCCCCTCTCCACAGCCCCTGGCAACCACCACCATCCTATTCTCTGCTTTTCTGAGTTTGACTATTTTAGATTCCTCATGTAAATGAGATCATGTCATACTTGTTCTTCTGTGTCGGCTTATTTCACTTAGCATAATATCCTCCAGGCTCATCCATCTTGTCACGAATGGCAGAATTTCCTTCTTTTTTAAAGGCTGAATAATATTCCATTGTATGTAAATACTGCATTTCCTTTATCCGTTCATCCATCAGTGAATTTAGGTTGCTTCTGTGTCTTGACCACTGTGAATAATGTTGCAGTGAATGTGGGAGTGCAGATATTTCAAGATCCTGATTTCAATTCCTTTGACTCTCTACTCAGAAGTGGGATTGCTAGATCATATGGTACTTCTATTTTAAATTTTTTGAGGAATCTCTGTACTGTTTTCCGAAGTGGCTGTGCCAAGTTATATTCTCACCAACAGAAAAAAGCATTCTCTTTTCTCCACTTCAGCAACATTTCTTATCTTTGGGGTTTTACTGATAATAACCATCCTTATGTATGTGAAGTGATATCTCGCTGTGGTTTTGACTTGCTTTTTCCTGATTATTCCTGATACTGAGCAGTTTTTCATGTATCTATTGGCCATTTATATATCTTCTTTAGAGAAATGTCTACTCAGGTCCTTCGCCCTTTTGGGGTTGGTTTTTGTCTATCGAGTTATCAGAGTTTCTTTCATCTTTTAGATATTAACCCTTAATCAGATACATGGTACGAAAGGATTTTCAGGTTGCCTTTCATCTTGCTGATTGTTTCCTTTGTTGTGCGGAGTCTTTTAGGCTTATATAGTCTCATTTGTCTGTTTTTGCTTTCGTTGCCTGTGCTTTTGGTTTCATATTCAAGAAATCATTGCCAAGGCCAAAGTCAAGAAGATTTTTTTACCCTATATTTTCTTCTAGGAGTTTTACAGTTTCTTTTACTTCATTTAATTCTCCAAGTCCTTCTGTGAATGTATATTATTACATTTATAATTGAGAAAATTACCACTCAAAGACATTAGGTCATAAATCTGAGGTCACACTGCTAATATGGCAGATAGAGTTTGAATCTCAGCCTGTGTGACTTGAAAACACATGCTTTTTCTGTTACCCAATGCACCTCAGCATTGCTGGAATGTCTAATTCTTTTATCACTTAAAATACCAGAGATTTGTAGGGACCCAACCGTAGCATCCAGTTCTTTAGCTCTACAAATACACGAATACAAAACTGTAAATGCCACAGGCAGAGTTTCTTGGAAAGCCCACTCTGGTGGATCAACATCTTGGCACTATAGACATTTTCAGAAGATCAAGCCCCTAGTATTTACTAGAATTCTGAATTTAATAGCATCAGTGCATGACCATCAATAATGATTTGGATAAAGCACTACCATGCACTACTCGTATTGAAAATGGCCAGAAGATGAGAAGCAAGAAATTGTTGCTTCTCTGAAAGTTTTTCTCATGTGCTCGCAGCTGGTGTTTGATGAGTTAGCTCAGAAAAGCATCCCTCGAGTGACCACAATGTAACCAGCGGGTCTGGTTCGTCCCCCACTGCTGGTCCAGGGTGCATCTTTCATCTTCACCATGTGCTCCAACGTGAAGCCACTGATGTGAGCCCAACAGGAAGTGTGACCTCATTCTGGTTCTCAGCCTCTGGTTACGCAGGCTGTTTTTGAAAGAAAACAAGAGCAGTTGTAGGCTGATTTCCCCAAGAACTGCAGGCTCTTCTATTCTAGGAAACAGTCAAAAGAACAAGAGGCCGCTGAGGACAAAACTTCTCTGCAAAATCCTGCACACGGGGGTGTGTGCAGCCACCCATTAGGAGGACGGAAAGATGGGCTTCTCCTTTCTCAAGCGCTATCTGCACCTGTTGATATTCTGACGTTATTTTCAGCTGAAGAACTGCTAAGTCCTGGATTTCCCTGCTGACTTTCGACCACAGGAAGCTTCATATTTCAGTAACTATTTTGTTATTTATCAATTGGAGGAAAAGACTGGGAACTTCCTTTGGAAGGAATACGTATGGGAAAATTATTTTTCAGAATAGATGAGCTGCTCTGACGGAACTAGGAGATAGGATCCGTCTTTTGAAAAGTTTTAGAACTGCAACTGGTTTTCAGTGTTACTAATGCTCGATTAACTATTAGTTTACCACCTGAAGCCTGTTACAGGTATTTGTAAGATGTTAACACTAAGACTTTGCTTTCTGCCATAGGATTTGTTGGCTTTAAATTAAACTTAATGATTGGGGAAATTAACATAGGTTAATGTGGGCTGGACTTATTCCTATTGTATTGGTCAAAAATCGAAAGGACAAGTGACTTACTATTATGTTATAGAGAAAACAATATTATTTTATATTCCAAACCAATAAAATCTATGAATGTGTGCTCTGATTTAGAGATCATCCAAAGAATGCCAGAAAGTTCTGACTTCTCTCAAGGTCTCTGTAAGCCAGGATCTATATTGTCTAACAGATTTTGTATCTAGCTTATTGAAATAATCAATTTGAAGCTATAGAGTTAATTTGGTTTGTTTTATTTTTTAATATATATATATTTATTGAAGTATAGTCAGTTTGAAATGCTGTGGCAATATTCTGGGTTGTTTTAACGTATGACAGCTATAAAATCAATCCATTACTAATTATCGTATTTTAAAAATGTGAGTAGAAGTGATGAATCAGAAAAGAGTTTAGTCTTACCTTACTATGCTGCTAGGATAGTGGTAAAGCTAAGTCTTAATTGTCAACAGAAAGTAGATCTATGTGATGTGTGGTGTGATCAAAGTTTACATAATTTACACGCTTGGACATGTGTTTCATTTGTAATTGAGAAAGTAAATTATATGTTCGTGAGAGCTGAGTTTTGAAATCTGCCCAGTGGTGTACTATATTTGGTGCAATGCTGCTTCTGCTGCTTAGGAACGTCCAGGCTGATAGCAACTGCAAAATACCACCAGCCCTCCCCATCACTACCTGTCAGTGGTTTGACGTGTTGGGGAAAAAGACAGACACCAATACCCTAACTTTGTTTAAAACTTGAGAGTGAGGTTGATGTGTGTTGGGTGACGAAAATACAAATATGTTTATTCAGAAGGTTCTAGAACCAAACTTTTTCCCCAATTTATTAATGAATTAATTTTTATTATTTTATTTTGATTGCAAGTCAACCTTTGTAAGTCTAGCTTTCCTGAATAAAATGTGGTTCTTATTTACACAAAGATTATTTAGATGCACTGAGCGAGACAAGGGAGCATGTAATATAAAATCATAGAGGCAGACACAAGTCATCCTCCAATCCGGTCTCCTGCCATCAGTCCCATTTATCTCTGTATTCTTTCAGTAAACAAATCTGACTAGTGCAATTAGTAGATGCCATCTGTTTTGGCATCATTTTTCTATTTTTAATACATAATCTACCTTTTTTTTATCTCTTCTGCAGAAAATCTGTGAAGCCTTCCCAAGATGTACCAAATTTCTCAACTGATGTCAACACCAGTAGCAACTAAATGTAGGAGAACTGCTATACGCAATTATCTTTTGAACGATTAGACTACTTTTAGCAATTTCCTTGCTTTGATTTTGCTGATACTCATACCATTAACCATCTGTCAGTAGCTTGTGCTTCTTAAATGCCAGTGTTCACTTTGGCAATGATTTTGACTTCATTTCTTTCCTTGAGAGAAATGTGGTATTTTTCCTTTTAGTTGGAGGGAAAAAAAAAAATCACCATTTTTTTTAGATGCCTGTGCATAAATGTGAAAGGAGATTGTTTATCAGCTACTATTAAGATGCAAAACTGTTTGTCTATAAAAAAAATACTGAATGATTTTGATAGCTACTTGCAGAAAACATGGGCGTTGTTAAAACGGTAGTGGTTTCAAGTTTCTTCCTTCCTCTTGTCATTTTCTCCCCACACCCTACTTCTAACCCTCCCTCCATGCCCATAATTTTCTCCTTCAAATCAACCAACCCAATCTGAAAGTCTAAACTCCTTTCTTTGTCTTAGGTATTAATTGTGAGTGATAGGCTCCAGTTTCACTGAGCCTGTCTGTTCGAAGTATTCACACCATTACTAAACATTATAAAATGCTGCTTCAGAATTTAGAATATTAATCAACTGCAACTTTCCCGAATTGAAATCTGTTAACCATGCTTTTGATTAAACTAGAATGAACGAACGAGTGATCTTTTTTACATTAAGAATACTCACAGGCTTAATTCATTGGGAAATCATTTATACAAAACAAAATTTTATTTTTTCCTCCACTAATGTCTTCTGCTCATTATTTCACAATAGAAGTACCTTGAAATGCACTAATGAGAGAGAATCTAAGCAGATGATTGAATGTCTCGAATTACCGAGTAACCAGCAGGTTGGGTAATTGATTTGGGTTTTCTGCAGTTTCCCACAAGATGTTTTCTTCCTCCTTTTCATGAGTCAGTTTGATGCTAATGATTTATTATTGCCTCATGCTACACTAAGAAACCTCTGAAGGAGTGTTGAGTGAGAGAAGAAACAGAAGCTAGAAGCCCCTAGATTATCTCGGCTTCCCGTGGAGGCCTGGTGACAAGCTGTGTTAGTCCTGATTCCTTGGATGGCTGCACCAGTTGGAGTCCCTGCCCAGCCTGGGACATCAGCTATTCACACCCTCTTTACAGCCGCCACTGTTTGCAATCACACGTGTTGATGAAGTGTGATGAATTGGTACCTCTCTCTCATTCGATTTTGCAGATTCTTCCCCCCGGTCTCAGAAACAAGACGCTGGAGAGCCATCTCCCACATGCATTTTCCCAAGGTATTCCATGGGGCTTTTCGCAGGAAAAATCAATCATTTCTTCTGTATGCATCGTTTTGTTGTATTCTCGGTTTTAAAATATTTGTTTCAGCTTTCATCCAGTTTTGGAACCGGAGTACCTTTTCAGTCCTGTGCACATACAGGCTAAAAACTTGCCTAAACTCATAATGGGATTTCGAGAAGAAAGGGGTGAATGTATGGGCAAATGTGAATTGTTTGTTTGGTGAGTGGAGAAACTACTGAATGCTGATGTATGGTCCCTTTTTCTCAAAACGATGCTCTCTTAAATATGCTTTTACTCTCTCACTTCACAAGAGCCATGAGATTCTATACCAAGGCACAAACTGGCCAAATGGCATACTCCACTAAAACACGTAGCATCTACCATTTTGTTCAAGTTCTGCAATGAAGTCTCTTGTCTTTTCCTTCCCTTTTTTCCCTCCGTCTGTCTGTCTTTTTTCCTTACACAGGAATCAGTTGATATTTTCTCCAGCATTTCATGAAAGGTGCCAGTGGTATGAAGGCATCATGCATCAGTACTAGACCTACCCCTGGTTGTAAATACTAGGCCTCCTGCTGCTATCAAGTGACTCAGCCAAAGATGAACAAGCAGGCCGTGTGGAAAAGGGCACGTGCTTTATAGTCCGATAGACCAGGGTTCGAATCTTAGCTCGGCCATTCACCTTTCAATTTATTTGCCCATCTGTATCTCATTTTTGTCCTGCTGTACAATGAAGATAACAATACTAAGCTTTTAGGGGATTTTGTGAAAATCAGATCAAACATGAAGTATGGGCCAGGCTTAGCAAGTTTTCCATATATAAGAATAGAATTAGTCTTTTGCTAATGTTAGTGCATGCGTTAATTGTGAATAGGCTTTTAAACTTAAAAAAAAGCATGAGTCATGACGTTGCCTTTCAACCATACAGGCATGTGATTGTTTTTCAAACCTAGGATATATACAGATTGACCCAACGAAGTAGAAAACTTCCCTGGGTACCATCTCAGGGAAGGTAACTGTGCAATCATTTGTGCATCTGACCTGAAGGAAATTGGCAAAAGCCAAAAAGATCTCTTTGACTTCATGTTCTCCCTGTAACTCATACGCGTCTGGTGGCTGGGAAGTTACGATTTATCTGTAGTGACAAGAGGAAGGATACAGCAATCGAGGGGCTATTTAAAGTAAGGGTGGGGGGTGGAGGAGACTCTGAGCTTCCAACATCCCAGATAGATTGTTTTGCAATTTTTTCCATCCAAGAAAACGGACCGATGTCAAGGATGTAGGTGTGTTGTGTGGTGAGGAAACTGATTAGGCATCAGTTTTCATCAAAGTGTTTAAAACAGAAAGAAGCACTAAATGTTCTGTAGTTCAGTGTTTTCACAGGTGAAGAGATAAAGTTCTGAAGATTAAGAGTGACATTCTCAGGGTAGCGGAAGTAATTGGCCAGCATGAATGCAAAGAGTTGGTTTTCCTTCACAGTGACTGGAAATGTGGTTTTTGTGTAACTGGATGAACTGGACAGAGATTTAAAGGACTTTTCTTATTCCCTCCTTAGTTTTCTCTCTGATTTCCTGGATGGTGACAGTTCCTTTGAATGCTGCTCCACAGACCCCCTGACAGGTTCCCACTTCACCTGTCGCCGAAGTCCCAGACTCCTCACCAATGGCTACTACATTTGGACAGAAGACAGTTTTCTCTGTGAAAAGGATGGTCACGTAACTCTGAGCCCATCCCAGGCCAGTGTTCTGTACAAGGAGAACTTAGTCAGGTGAGTAGAGAACGTCATAGAAAAGAACCTGACGTCTAATCGATACAGGAAAAAATGTGGGACGAGAGGACAGCCACATCCTAGATCCCAGCTGAGTCCCTGGGTCGTGCACTGCCAAGTGTGGACCCTTGGCTTTGTGCAAGAAAGAATTCAAGAGTGAGCCACAGTTGAGTGAAAGTAGATTTATTCAGAGAAGTACATACTCCGTAGACAGAGTGCAGGCTGTCTCAGAAGGCATGAGAAAGTCCACGAGGTGTGGGGGTCAGGTGCTCAGTTTAAAGTGAAAGCAGATACACACTCCATAGATAGAGTATAGTCCATCTCACTCAAAACAGAGAGCGGCCACGAGCCGGGTGTTGCTAGTTTTATGGGCTCGGTGACTTCATATGCTAACAAGTGGGAGGATTACTCCAACAACTGTGGGAAAGGGGCTGGGATTCCCAGGAACTGGGCCATCACCCACTTTTTTACCTTTTATGGTCAGCCTCGGAACTGTCCCGGTGCCTGTGGTAGTGCCATTTACCATGTTAATATATTACAATGAGCGTGTAATGAAGCTCAAGGTCTCCCGGAAGTCAGGTCTCCCGCCATCTTGGTGCTCATTGCTGTGTCATTCCTTGAATGGCTGTGCCCTGCTCCCTTCCCTCCTGTCTCACAACCCTTCCATTAATCATTCGTTCACTCATTTGTTCATTCAGTATCATTTATAAGGACCCCATCACTGCCCCAGACTGTGGAAGCACACAGGCTAGTAAGGGGCAGGGATGGAAGACATGAAAACAAACAAAAGTGAGGAAGCAATACAGAGGCTGGGCTGGAAGGCTGACTAGAGGGCAGTGGAGGGGAGATGGAGGGGCGCCCATTTTACTTGGAGGGGCAGGTTAAAACAAGCTTCTTAGAGATGATGGTGATTGATTTGAGTCTTGAGAGATGTCGGATGTTAGTTAAGATAGAAATAGGAAAGAGGACTTCCAGAGAGAAGGACCAGGCAGACAGCTCTGAGAGACCCTGGTTCAATTTGAAGGATGGCAAGTATATGGGTAGGGACATAGCTAAGGGAGGAAGGGATGCTTGCCAAGGCAGGAGACTAAGTCCAGAATCAGGGCTGGACGGAGAGTGCCACATTCCAGCCTCAGGAGCTCGGGCTTTATTCTGCAGGTAGAGAGGCGCCATTGACAAATGATCAGATCCATCCTTTGCAAGATAACACTGACTCCAAGGTAGAGGATGGACTGTTGTTGGGAGTGTCAATGTGTGAGGAATCAAAATCTTTTGGAAATGCAGAACAAATCACATCACCGCCATCCCCTTCCCCTCGACCTTCTTCAGTGGTCTCCCGTGCTCTTACCTTAAACTCCAACTCCTTCACATAACAGTCAAGGTTCTTCTTTATCTGCCTTCTTTTTAACTTTTCTAGCATCACTCAATATGAGACTCCTTGTTCAAACATCCCAGAGCGCCTCCCTTGTCTCCCGATTAGCCATGTGCCTCCTGGTGCTCTCAAAGCAGCCTCGGTTAACACTGTCAGAGCACATGTCCACATATCACAGTAACCGAGAGCAGAACCTACAGAGCCAGCTTGCCTGGGTTTGCACCCCAGTTATGTCACTTACTAGCTGTACGACCTCAGATAGGTTATTTAACCTCCTTGTGCCTCAGTTTCCCAATCTGAAAAATGGGGTGACAGTAATACCTACTTCACAGGGCTGTCCTGAAGATACTGTGAGTTCCTCTATGTAAATCACTAAGAAAGACACTGGGCACAGGATAAAGTCAGTGAAAGACTTAGCTGGTATCTGCATTATTTTTTGTCTCTCTTCCGTATTAGATTATGAACTTTTTATCCAAAGTTTTGTCTTTTGTCTCAGTATCTTTGACATTGATCCAAGCACCTGGTACATGCAGAATTTATGAAACTTCTATGGAATTAATGGAGGAAACAAATGAAACAAAAACAAATGAGCTTCACAGACCTGGGTTGGAGGGCTGTGGTCTGGGCATCCAGTCACATTCACTGCTTTGACCCTGAGGTGACTGCTTTTCATCACTCACCATGCTACTTCCGTTTCTCTCCAGAGTATTTAGAAAGAAAAAGAGAACCCGCCGCTCTTTTTCTTCTCTCTTCAACCTCAGTGCCTCTGAATCCTGGCTGCACGGAAGTATCTTTGGTGATGTTGACTCTTCCCCAAGTGAGGACATCTGGTTGGAGGGGGTCAGGAGACTGGACATAAACCATCACAATGCAATTGGTGAGTTCGAATCTCTTTTTGCATGGTGAAGTATCATTTCCAAATGGGCAGTAGCAACCACATCGTCCTGGACCAATGTAAAGTCCAGACACAGCAGTCACTATGATATAGAGGTTGAGCACATTTTAAATATTCACCTGCCGTCCTCTCCACGCTACTGATATGATCCAAATACACACGTCTCCACGTATGCAAAATAGCCTTATTTAAATGTATACATTATTAAGTTGATAATTCCTGGAACATATTTGCCCATTTTCCGTGGATCTTTTCTGTATGGGATATAGGTGGACAAAGGACACTGGAGTCAGGGTTCATGTCCCAGTTTGCTCACATTGTGATAGTTACTTAAGTTTGCTAAATCTCAATTTCCTCATTTTTAAAATGAAATATGTATACATAGTATAATAAAACAATACATATTTATATATGTATTCCTTTTGAAATATGTGCTATATATAATTAAATATATCATACATATTATATAATGTGCATTATGTAGTATTTATATATATATTCCTTTTGAAATATATGCTATATGTATAATTAGATATATCATCTAAGAGGCTGTTAGAGGGATTCAGGTGGAAGATGATGGTAGCCTAGACGAAGATGATAGCAGGGCGGAGCTGAGAAAGGGTAAGATTCTGGATACATTTAGAAAGTAGAGCTAACAGGATCTGCTGATGTGCGTGGGGCTTATGATACGCCAAGCACTTTACATTCTGTCCTGTCGAAATACATTTCCTTGTTTACATACATTATTTTGTCTAAACAACCCAAAGCCCCCTAAGAAGTAGATCATATTATAATACTTACTGTAATTATGATGAAATTGAACTGCAGGGTTAAGTGGCTTGCCCACATTCATTTAGTTTATAAACAGCAGAGTTGGAATTCAACCTAGGTCTGTCTAGTTTGAAAGCCCAGGCTTTGCTCTGTTGCCAGCAAGGGTGTTGCCAGCAAGGGTTTTGCCCTCCTCTCCTGCATATGCCTCACAGCCCAGGCCCAAAAAGCAAGCAAGAGGAGTCATAGAATACAATCACATAATAACTTAAAAATACAGTGGTCCTTACTTGTCTACCATTTTTCTCAACCTGCTTCCGGGGCAGAAAACTCAAATACTATATTATTTTTTGTTAAAACTTTTTGATGTGCAGTAATTATAAATTCACAAAAAGTTGAAAAAAAAATAGTGCGGAGAGCACCTTTGTGCCCCTCCCCAACATCCCCCGCTGATGAAACATAGTCAATAGTACATTATCAAAACCAGGAAGCTGACATTGACATAAGACCATTAAGATTTCACCAGTTTTTACATGCTTGTGTGTGTGTAATACTAGGTTTGTTTAAAAGATTGAACAAGTGCTTGTTAAATGAAGAAACACCTCCTTACGGAAACAAGCTGTGAACTAAACTGAGTGTGTCCCAATTCCCCACAATAACAAGGTGTATAAACAGAATAAAAAGAGGAGAAAGAGGCAGGGATGTGGCAGGGGAGCCTGGAATGGCAGACTGAAGATATTTGAGGAAACTTCTGTGCTATGCTGAGGAGTTTTGATTTTATCTAGTGTGTCAAGGATATTTTAGAAGGCTCTTAAGCAGGGCGAGGCGCAACTAGATTTGGATTTTCAAAGATGGCCTTTACAGCAACATGAAGTGAAGACTGGATGGAGAGCACCCATTGGGAGCTCAGAAGGGAGTAAAACCCACAGGCACACCAAGGACAGTGGCTCTGGAGACAGAGAGGAGGGAAGAGACTGAAACAGTGTTTTTCAAGGTAGAATTGACAGGTTGGTGACAGATCGAACATAGTAATGAAAATGCGGGGGGAATCAGAGAAAACTGGTGTGTTTAATCTGAGCAACTGCCTGACAAGTTAGGTCAGTCGCGAAGGACTGGAAGACTGTCTAGCCCAGTAACGAGGAGAATGAGCTTTTGAGCTGAAGGAACCTAAATTCAAATCCTCAGATCACCGTCTCCAATCTGAGTGTTCTTGGGGAAGTTAATTAGTAACTTGGGCCCTCCCTTTCCACATATATAAAGTAAGGAAAATAGTAGCCTATGGAATTGCTGTGAGGGTGAAATGCAGTCATTCATGAAAAGTGCAAATTAGTATAGGGACTGGTGTTCCGCTCCGTACAAATTAGCTCTAAGAAGGCCAAAAGTACCAGATTTGGGTCAGGGAAAGAAACACTAAATTCTATTTCATACGAGTGAAATTTGAGGTGCCCACAGTGAGATTCCAATGCTCACAATCGTTCTGATAAAGCCAAGGAGAAGGTGTCAGTTTAGAGCCTTAGCAGCTTTAAGTCTCTTGAAATACTTGCTACTCTCTTTTGCGTTTTAACAAATACTGTTAACAAAGAACAGGCTCAGAGCTTTCCACTACAACAGTATTTAGTTCAAATTAAATATGGTCTCATTTTCATGGCACTTGTTTTTACATTTACTTTCTCATTAGGACATTTAAATGATTGGTACAAAATTTCCTTTAAAGTGAAAGACTAAAATGAAACAAATTGAAGAAAATATTAAATGGTAGGAGTTAAGAATTCTCCAGGATATGGCAAAAATCAGGAGAATGATGCTTGGATGCCTAATGTTTGGGAATCACTGTTCTAAAGGCAGAGTTTCACATATTTGGAAATTAACATCTAGCTTTCCCATAGTTCCCTCTTAGAAATATGTCCAAACAATCTTAGAGCAATTGGACCATGGCAGCACTGCACGTGCATGAGGTATCTTGTTAAAATTCTCATGGTTTCCAAATATCTTCTAAATATAACGAATCAAACCACCCTCCTCCAAATCAGTAATTAGTCAGCCCGGGTGCACACAGGACTTTGAAATCTCTCGTCTCTGCTGTCAACTGTAATCAAATCTTGCCCAGACTTCTTGTTTTCCAGATTTACCCAAAGCCCCGTGACTTTTATCAGCAATTTATTTTTCTCTGGAAACGTTGCCTAGTTAGAAGACTCAAGAAGAATTCAAAATTAAGTTGTCTGGCTGGCTCTTTTCTCTCTGGGCAATGGATGCAATCAAAACTTACTTCCCCTGATTTTCTTTTGCTTCATTTTTTCCAGGCTAAAAAGGATCTTTTTGTTGTGCTTGTTGCGTGTTTCGCGTATCCTTAGTTCACCCCTTCCACAGCTGTGTCCAGACACCTTTCCTCGTTAGTTGCAATTCATTCTTAAGCATGGCATTTTATAGCTCCCCAGACCTCAATACTGCAATTTGGGATGCATTCCCAGAGCCTGTGAGTCATATCGACAGAGGATACAGGATTCGTGCAGGGAGGAATAATCAGGACTTCCCGCTCTGTTTCTGCCAGTCTCAAGAAAGAAAAGCAAGATGACCCCCGACAAGGCACCCCAGCCTGAGGTCTGTGGTTTTCTCTAGCTCTGGTGCCTCTCCCATAAATATCTTTGATGGCAACATCTGTATATGGCTTTGCATTTCCCTCTATAGCCAACAATGATGCCCAGTTTTACATGCAAGGATATGGAAGTGTGCCTGGAAGAAACAGAACTATCCTTTTAAAACAGAAGTCAACTGCACTGAATTTAAATAAATCAGGAGAAACAGAATGAGATTAATATCGTCAAGTAAAATGCCATTTTCTGCATTATGATCCTTTTATTTATAATTAATGTTATAGGAAAAAAAATTCAGTTAGGGAAAGTGTGAATTGGGGGCAGATCTTGTCTTTTCAGGGATGAAAATCCCTTGATCATGTTTTAATGTGAAGTTTTTTTTGTGCTTTCTCTTTCTAATGCCATCTCATCTTTTAGAAAATTCTGTGTAATATTTCCAGTGTTTTACATGAGATGCGTTTTTAATTTCATCTAACTCACAGTGGCAAATCTAAGTCCAGCGGAGCAGCCCTGAGCACAGGAATATTTTCACTCTGGTCACAGCCTCATCCACATCTCCCCAGATCTTAATTAAGTGCCACTCATGAATACATACTTAGCCACGAACGTTCCCAGTTCCCTCCCATTCCCACATTAATTTGACCACATAGCTTCCCCTCTTTTTTTGAACAGCTTTTTTAAAGGTATAATTGATACACACAGAATTGTACATATTTAATGTGTACAATTTGATGAATCTGAACATAGGTCCACCCCCCGTGATACCATCACCACAGTCAATAGACATCCAACACTCCCCAGAGTTTCCCTGTGTCCCTTTGCAGAGTTTTTTGGGTTTTGTGGGGGTTTTGTGGTCTGTATTTTGTAGTAAGATCTATCCTTTTGACACATTGTGAAGCACATGAAATACCATATTGGTAGCTACACCCACCGAGTTCAGCGGGTCTCTAGACCTTATTCATCCAGCATAACTGAAACCTTACACCTGTTGAACAACTCCCCGTATTCCACTTCCCCCCAGCCCCTGGTAACCACCACTCTATTCTCTGCTTCTATGAGGTTGACTGTTTTCGGTGCCTCATGTGTAAGTGAAATTACGCAGTATTTGTCTTTCTATGACTGGCTTATTTCATTTAGCATGACACCCTCCTGGTTTATTCACAGTATCCCCAACAGCAGAACTTTCCTTATTCATGCGCCTATGAGTAAACACTTGGGTTGTTTCCGTAGCTTGGCTATTGTGAATAGTGCTCCTGTGAACCAGGTCCAGGACCTCCTCTGCAGCGTGGTCACTACTGGGTGCTCTGCAGGTTTCCCCTTCTGCCATTTCCTTTTCTTATGGCAACCAGCAGGGATGCTTCTGCAGCGTGCTTTTTCAAGAGGCAGCAAATTGTGGGTGGGATGGTGGGAGGCAGCCTGCAGCGCTGGCAGGAATCCCATGTCCAAAAGCACCAGCTCGTTGGCTCAGTATCCAGGGCTGTCCTGTGCATTATAGGATGCACAGCAACGTCCCTGGGCTCTGTTCCCTTAGATGCCAGTACCACCCCGTCCCTTCTCTCCTGCTCAAGTTGCGACAACCAAAAATGTCTCCAGACCCTGTCAAATGTCCCCTGGGGAGAGAAATTACCTCTCGTTCAGAAGCAGTGTTATATGAAGATCCCAAGAGTCTCTTGGATTTCCACCGTCACTCCCAGCTCCTGGAACAGGGCTGGGAATCTCTCAAATCTCTCACTGCTGGGTGAGCATTTCAGCACACAAAGCATCTCATGTTACACCCATGCCCACCAGATAAATCTTAGCTCCTGAGTGTGACCCATGAGGCTCTTCCTGATTTGACCCCTGCTTAGCAGTCTGGCCAGAATCATTTTCCAGGGGCCCCCTGACTCACAGGCTCCTGTCTGGCCACAAAGGAGAAGTCACTGTACTGGGAACGCAGCATGTTGATGGTGAAACAGGTTGAGGTCTTTCCTTCTCCTCTTCTTCCCCATCCTCCTCCTCCTCCTCTGTCTGTGTCTGCCTGGACTGCCCTCTTCCTGCTGTCTCTCTGCAAGAACTCCTCCTCACCCTTCAAGTGTCCACTGAAGCACTGCCTCCTTTGGATTCCCCTTGACAAGCTCAGACACTCCCTCCTGGGCTCCATCTGGACACCTTCTGCTGGGCTTCAGCTGAGCGATGACCTCACCGCCTTCTAACTGTGGGCTTGTAGGCCAGTCCCTCTCCAACCACGAGTAGGGCGCAGCAGTATGTACCTTGACTTCCTACTCCCAGCCCCTTGAGCAGTGCGATGCACGCAGCTGCACAATAACTCTGCGCTGAATGCGTCAGTGGATCCGCCCGCCCCACGCCCATGAAGCTTTTGCCTTCTCTACCCATGAGCCTTTTCCTGAACCCCTCTGGCTTGACATCTTCTCTGGGGATGTCGCCTCTGGACGGTCAGTCCCTCCTCTCAGCTGATACCTTCCCTCAGTCATCTTATGCCCCAGACATCCATGAAAATACAGGTTAGGAAAACAGTCTGTCTGCAAGTTCACTTCCAATTCTCTGCCCTTGTTGGGATTATTGCTATGATTGTTAGAGTTACTGAAAATACACACACACACACACACACACACACATGCTGGATTCTTCTGCTTTTCCAGGAGGTGATTTTGACTGTTCTCTGACTGATGACTGGGAGTCGGAGAAGCCAAACGCCGAGTCTGTGAAAACCTCCTTTTCTGGCCTCGTTACATCTCAGACTCCCAGAGAAAATTCCCGTAACTCGTGTCTGCAGTCCCAGTTGATGGCTTCTGACCAGGAGAACATTTGGGATTATTCAAGTGAGTGATTTTTTTAATCTTTGCCACACCCAAATAATTCTTCGTTTCAGGTCCTACTATGGGTGAATTAGAGATGACTAGCACACCCTTAGGTGCTGGTATCAGCCTGGCGGGGAGGGGAGGACCTCAGGCACTGCCAGTGCCTATGTGATGTGTCTGCAGTGGAGGCGAATGATTTAAAGATTGCATCTTAGAAGCACCAGAAGGACTGGACTTGTGGTGTTTTATTGATTCTTTTTAAAAACCCTGAAGACATTTGGCAAAATGTTAAGCTTTGCTGAGGCTGAGTCGTGCACACACAGGTTCTGCTACCATTGCCTGCATACTTAGCTGGGCACTTGACATATTCTAGAAGAAGAACATTAAGGAAAGAAAGAAAAGAACATCCTTTAATGCTTTGCCCCTGGCAAGAAAAGTCAAAGGATATAAAGGTATTCGCATTTCCCGTCAGCAGTAAATCTGGAATAAATTCAATAAGCATCTCCCTTAATCTCTGGCTTGCTAACATCAGATTCACCACGTTTGCACAGAGCCTGCAGCAAGGCTCTCCCAGCAGCTTGCCAAGGTTCAAAGCCCAGGTCCCGCTTGTTCGCTGTAACGCAGAAGCAGTTTACCCAACTTTCTAAAACTTCACATTTTCCTCTGTAAATGGAAATAATCATAGTTCCTACCTTGTAAATGACTAAAATAATCCGTGTAAAGCACTTAGCATCGTGTGTCATGTATACTAAGTCTCAGAAAAGTGAGGTTATGATTATATAAGACTGAGGTTAAACGGAAAAATAATATCTTCTCTCTATTTGCCTTCCCTACTTCATGAATATTTACTTCTGCTCCCAAAATCCAATATGCCCTGCTTCATTTGGTTCCGGTTGCAGCTATTAGCTAAGTGTTAAGGGTTTTTTTTAAGTTCCCTTTCCAGATACTGGGATGACCGAGAAATCAGTCTTTATTGTTTAGACAGTTTCCAGGTGATCCACACCTACTAAGGTTCCATAGCCACCTCCTCCAGGGAGTCCACCCTGTTTTGGGGGGAAGGGGTATTAAGTGACCCCAACTTGTGTCCCTCCAGCTCTCAGGACTCCCCTCTCTCATGCCCATTTCCTGCACTACTGTTCTTGCGTGTTTACTTTTGTGTCTTACCCATCAGGCTACCAGCTCTTTGCGGGTAGGCACTATGTCTTAGTCATCTGTAGCTTCCGAACTGCCCACGCAGTCCCTGGCACACGGCAGGAGCTCCATGACTGTGGTGGACCAATTCAGGGTGCCATCTCCATTTTATAGATAAGAATACTCAGGTTCAGACAGGTCCTGGAAGCCTTTGTACATGTTCTTTGCTGTGTCTGGAATGTCTCCCACTGGCAATACCTGGAAGACCCTTCCTCCTTCGAGGTCTGGTTCAGATGAGATCACCTCTGTGGGGCCTTCTCTGTCCCCTTCTGGCTGGTGGAGGTAGCACTTGGCTTCCCTGAGATGCCACAGAACCTAGCACTATGTGTCTCTCTATTGGAACCATCTTCCTTTGCCTCACTGGGCTATAAAGCCCTGATTGGACAAAGTTTCCATTTGACTCTATTTAATCTCTTTCACAGATAGGTTTTGAGTGCATAGTCTGTTCCAGGTGATGCCCCATGTGCTAAGGATACAGGCATACAAGGCATCATCTTTATCAGTCAGGGCTCTTTGAGATCCAATGAATGGACACTCAACTCAAAATGGATTAATCGGTAATTGAATGTATTGGTTTGTATTAATGAAACTTCCAGGCAAAGATTTCAGATTTCTGTTGGTCTCCACAAGTCTGTTCTCCTCTATCTCAGCTTTACTCTTTAAAAGGCTGTTATCATGCTGGCTCTGTGCCTACAACGTCCCATGTTCAAGTTCAGTAGAAAGAGATTATAACCTTCTCGAGTTACGACAAGAAATCCAGTTTCTTTGATTCTGGAAGGGCCTCATTTACATGATGAAACCAATCCCTTTGTCAGTAAGTATGTGATGCTCCAAATGTCTTGGAGTGGATCACGGGTTGGGAGGGAAGTCAGTGCATCCATGTGAACCATGTGCCAAGAGAGGGGATAGGGGACTTCCCAAGGAAAACATGGGCACTGCCACCAAAGAGCAGCACATAGGTGTGGGCGATTCTCAGGTCTGGAGGCAAAACACAGAGAAACAGAACAGCAATTTTAATTCAGTGTGAAAAGACTGTTGACAGGACATGCAGGAGGCATAATGCGATGACAAAGATAAAAAAGCAAAGCACCACAGGGGAGTTAAAGGCATCAAGGAAGGCTTCCTGAAGGAGGTTTCATTTGCGCCAAGCCAAAGTAAATGACTACTGGATGACCGCAGAAGGAACAAATCAATGAACACCTTGTCCACAATCACACAACGCATATCTTCGTAGAACTTGAACTTAAACCCAGTCGTCCTTCAGTCTTCAAGTCTAGTGATCTTTGTGGTTTGTCAAGCTAGACTTGTTTCTGTGAGAAAATGTGTTCCAAATTCCACATGAAATCAGAGCAGGCCTAAAACAGAAACACATTTTAGAAGGGTGGTTGAGTATTCAGTTGAAGCCACAATAACTTACTTAAGTCACAGTATGTATGAAATACTGTACATTTGCAGTGACATCATTCACACCTGCTATATTTTGCCCTGTCAATCTCCAGTATTCTGCCCACATGATGGACTAAGTAGGTTTTTGTTAGCTGACTCAATCTCCATTCACAGCATAAATAACAAAAAGAAATACATTCATAGCACAAATTAATTGCAAGTTTTAAACGACTGTTGCAGAATTAAGCTTTTGAAGCATTTGGCAGAAATTAAGCTGAGGTTCGTTATTTTTTCCTTTAGATCTTGATGTGGTAGGCCTTAAATCAGCTCTGCTTTCTTTTAGGGGATTAGAATCACACTCAGGGTCACAGGGTTTAATTCTTCTGTTTATAACTGCTGAAGGATCTGCAGTCATTTCCACTGTGGCTTGATAGCAGTGAAATATTTTACAATAGCAAAGAGTTTTGTAAGGACAAATAGTTCAGAATATGTCTTCTCATTTTTGCCCTTTAGAGACTCCCACTATGGCAAGATGCAGTTCTCTCTTCCTGCTCCATCTCAGGCCAAACATGATGTTCTGGCTAGATTTGGTTAATCAGTCTTGGCTCTGGCACTTCGGAGCTGTGTGACGTTGGACGAATTTCATCATTTGAAATTGGATCTTCTCGTTTGCAGAACTGTGATAATTGTTCCTACCTCACCATTTTGTTGTGTTGATTAAATGAACTGTTGTATGAAAGCTCTTTGTGAATTATAAGACACTCTACAAATTTTAGGCATTAATATCATCATTATCATCATCACAGTTGGATTTCTGCCATTAGCATAAATTCTACAAAGTGTTTCCACAACATTTTAAGTAAAAGGCAAGTCCCAAACAGTTTATGTAACATAATCATTTATTTTGTAGTGATAGAAAAAAAACTTACAATTTTCAGAAAATGTTTAGTGAATGGTCCTGTACAACATTTGAAAATTTTATCTTAAGCTGACATACATTTGAAAAACCATTTCTGGGGGTGAATTAAAAAAGGTTTCAGTATGATTTTGTTATTCTGAGATGATTTCATCAGCAATGATTTCTAATTCATTTATTTTTATTTTTCCTATTAGAAACCAGTTTGTTACGAGAGGTTTCCTTCCATGCAATCCTGCTCGCTGCATGCTTAATCATTTCTGCCTGTGCGAGGTAATTCAGATTTTATGTTCATCCAGTGATGTTTCATAATTAATGAAGCTGTAATTGATGATGATTTCCTTACCTATTCCACAAAGCATTTTAGGGAGCTTTGTGGTTAAGATTTGTTCATTTGTCCACTGCGTATTTATCTGTCACCTCCCTCCTCCCGATGTCTCACAGAGCATACAAAAGACAGCAGATCATGGTAGAAATTGGATTTTACCATGTAACATCCTTTGTTTAAATCCTCAGGGACTCCCTCTTACAGATATGGTCTAACTAACCGTGCTTGGAGTTCAAAGGCACATGAAGTCCCCAACAGGATGCCATCTGTCCCACTATATTTTTATATCTTCACATGAAATGTCTTCTCAAGGAAGACATCCGCTCATGCCTGATGCCGGGCGTGTTTCTGTTCTACCCTCTGTCCAGCATGTGCCTCCTATGCTTTTCCTGCCCAGGTCTCCAGGGCGGTGATCGCGTCCCTTCTGTGCTAAGCTTGTTTGTGCCTCAGGGCGTTTGCTGTTTATTCCGCCCAGGACAGTTTTTTTTTTTTCTGGAGAAACAATAACACGTGCTCTGACTTCTTTCTGACATCTGTTTAAGTGTCGCATCATCAGAGAGCCCTCCCCTGACAAGCCTGTATAAACAGAGTACCACTCTCTGTCACACCCATCTCACGTCTCACTTGGCTTTTGTTCAGAGCACTTATCACCGCCTGACCTATTAGATGTTCACTTGTTTAAATGTTAATGATCTAGCTCTCCCCACAAGACTGTGAGCTCCCTAAGAATGGAGGCATGGTGCTAGGGGCTCATCAATGCCTGTTGGACCAGTGAAACAGGGATGAATGGTACACTTCTGGGGTCTGTGAGGTCCTTGTACTCCAGTCAATAAATGCTGCTTGCTCTCAACCCCACACCAACTGGGGAACTTGTATTTTTAATACAAAGTCCTGGATCCCATCCCTTGAGATGCTAATTAAGATCTAGTGAGAATCCGTACTTTAAAATAGCTTCTCGGATAATTAAGAGGTTTGAGAAGTATTTATAGATCATAATGGGACCAAAAGAACAAAAAAAGGGGGAGGGAGTCCTGTAGTTAAAAATAAGTTTGAAAAATTCTGCATTGTGTATCCCAAATTGGGGGATCACAACATGGATTAGCATAATAAAGGCTCTGGGAAATGATGTGGTGGAGAAGCCTGGTTAACTGTTTAACTTAGCTTTTCCTAAACTGAGTTGATCATGGGACCTTTTCTTTATTTCCCAGGACTATTAAGGAAATGTTCCTCTTAGGTTAATTTATGTAGAAACTACCCCCTCAAGAGGAGAGCTTGACTCCCCATTCCTTAAGTGTGAGTTGTATTTATAAACTTGCTTCCAAGAAGCAGTGTTTGGAAAGAGGGGGAAAAGGAAACTTCACAGCTGAGAAACCTGACGGACACTACCTCAAGCGGTCAAGGTCGACATCAACAGAGACAGGTCTGGAAGGATATTAGTCAGATTTTAATAAATGGCTGCTTCAGGGTGGTAGGAGCTTTTGATGACACTTTCCTTTCTCCTTTGTATTTATTTGTAACCTCTGTCAAAATGGTTCATATTTTGAGTACAAAAACAATAAAGATATTATTCTTTAAAAAGAAAAACACAATCCACACTGTGATACACTCTTCCATCAGACTGACAAAACCCCAAACTTCAACACGTTCGTTTGTCAAAGTTATGGAGCAGCAGGCGTACAGATTTGTTTCCTAGAACTTTATACTTTCGTGGTTTACATTTCAGTCTGTGACTCATTTCGAGTTAAAATTTGTGTTCAGGTGTGATGTCCAGGTGGGGGTTTGTTCTGCATGTGTCTATGTGATTGTTTTGACACCACTTGTTGAAAAGACTCTCCTTCTCCCATTGGGCGGCTTTTACACCTGTTACAAGTCACCTAGCTGTATCTGTATGACGCGGTTCTGGGCTTTCTATTCTCTTCCGTTGATCTATATTTCTAACCTTCTGCCAATACTACACTATCTCTATTAATGCAGTTTTATAGTAAATCCTAAAATCACGCGTCTGTAGTAAGTCTATAAAAACATCTCTTGTGTTGGAAATGCACAGTTAGTTGGCGGAACCTGAGCAGTCCTGTTGTTTCAGATGGTTTCTTGGAGGAATACTAGCCAGTGTCTTCACGTGCTCCTTGGTGGTAACTATTGCTTGTAAGTAGCTGTTTCCCCAATGACTACTCTGATTCCTATTATTTCATTCCAGTTTTGTTCACTTTAAAATATTTTCTCTTTCTCCGTCAAGATGTTGTCAAGTCGTCATTTCTCAGCCTTGCCAACTATTTCAAAGCCATCACTTGCGCTTGGTAAGTGTTGCCTGGGTTTTCATCATCTGGACGAAGATGACCATAATCTGATACCTGAGAATGCTGTCTGCTGAGCAATGGGTGGCAATGATTATGCACAGGGAAGGTCCTGATCGTTTGTCCTGCAGAATACTTTCTGTTGCCACTGAGATCTAATAGTAGTATCATCCCATATCCTAAATTCTTACACCAACATAGATAGAATTAATTTTTAAGGCAGCAAGACTTAGGAAATAACATAAATTTTAAATTTTTAAATAGTTTTTAAAGGATTCATAGACTGTTCTTCATAAACACCTCTTAGTAAGAGGACTTTACCTTAGAGTTTCCCAAAGAGCTGGCAAACTGCCTGTGAAGTGATCTTAGTTACAAACCGTGATTTCTCCACCATCTCTCACCTACTTAATGATCCCGCTGTATGCTGACTGCTGTAGTTCAGCGTATTTCAAAGGGTTACTGGGGTCTGGGTGAGATGCTCCCAGAATCTCAAACAGCCTGTAAAGCACCATCTCATTGCAGGACGGACTGTGTTCATTACTGTCACTTCAATATGGCTGCCAGAGGCCAATTCCCAGAGCCTGGAGGCTGAAGTCTATAATTCAGATCAGTTTACTGGCCTTCACTTTTGACAGTCTGTGGCCCCGTTTATGAAATTTTTGTGTTAATTCTGAAATCACAGTGGGATGTGTGAAGATTTGTTTTGTTTTGGACTCCAGCCAGTATTGATTTGCTGATGCTCTAAGCCGCGTTCCCCTTCATTGCCTGGCATTCCAGGTTTCTGGGGACAGGCATCAGTATTGTTAAGTTTTGTTTAACCTGATAGTTAGAATATTGGGCCCTGAGGTCACCTGAGAAATCCTTAGTCATTAGCCCTTGAAAATCAATGACGTTTGTTTAAAGCTCTTCTGAGATACTCACTTATCTCTCTAGCATCAGGTCTGTGCACAGTCCCCTCACACAACATCAACTGCAAGGTTTGCACGTGTACTCAGCTGCTCAGGCTGAGATGTTGCACCAGTCAGGACTGGACTAACCGATAACGTATGAACAAAAGACTTTCAACCAAAGAGTCATTGTGTAACCCAACTTTCAAAAGTGTCAGGTGGTGTGAATTGAGTAAATCCATTTTGGGGGGGTTTAAGATGAACATGTACAATTAATCAGAAACACAAATATCACCTTTTCAGGCTGCTCTGTAATGAGGGCAGAGCTTCTCAAAGCGTGGCATGGGGACATCCGCTCTAGAATCAACAGGAGAGCTTGTTTGAAAAGCAGACTTGTGGGTCCCGATTCCAGAATTTCTGAATCCAAATTTTCTGAGTGGGTCTTTATTTTTTAACATCCTCTCCAGGTGATTCTTTGCACGTTAACGCTGAGAATCTTAGAAAGATGGTTTGTAAAACCGTTACCCCTTGATTTCTAAAGTGGCATCATTTAACCCACTAAATCTTTATTGAGAACTTAGAAGCTCTGTGCTGCACCAGGGGGCCAGTTCCGTCCAGCAGGTGTTTATGGCATCTCTACCAAGGGTCAGATGCTGTCATTAAGTGCCAGGGTTACGATGCCAAGGCCTTGAGATTTCAGAGTCTAATTAGAGGGACATGTAAAAGGCAGAGTGAAGTTGCATTGTAGTATGATAAGTGCAATATAGGAACACAAGGAATGCGGTTTTGCCAGACCAAGACAGGTAAGGAGGGCGGGCAGGGAGGGCTTGCTGGAAAAGCCAGTATCTAACCTGCACGGATTATGTCATCTGTTGCTTTATGGGCACCTCCCACTGTTCTGTGCGCCCTGTTTGTTCTCTCCTGGAAGAAATTAGATCAAGACCAGGATGATATTTCCATCCTAAACACTCACGTACAGCCTCATTTATGAAATAAGACCGCTTCTTTGATTACTTGTATATATACTTCAATTTGTTTTTCTCTCATTCCCTCTCCATTTTTTTCCTATTTCCTGCCCTCCTGAACTCATATACTCACACCCTTGCGTTCAAGATCTATGAAAGCAAGAACTATTGACTTCATTTCTGTATCCATCTCAATGCCTTGAAAATAGTATGTACTCCCTAAATATTCATTGAATGTATTTGCCGTATCATTTCTTAAAGTACTTCCTTTTTAAAAAAACAACTATATTGTGGTATAGTAAACTACACATATTTCAGATGTACCATTTGATGAATTTTGATAGATGTTTCCTGTGAAATCACCACCACAATTAGGATACCTAACGTTTCCACCACTCCCACCAAGAGGTACAAATTTCAAACCCCTAATTTAGGGGGGAGAGTATTGTTCAGTGGTAGAGTGCAGGCCTAGCA